AGGGCACCTCCTGTTCCTTTTGTGTCAAGGCAGATCCACGGAAAAAAGATATCGCCAGCGCACGTGCGCTTCCCCACAAACTCAGAACCAAACGACTTTACAGGGATATGTAAATGATTATACATGAGTTACGTGAGCATCTCCTACAAGTCTTCTCCAACCAATTCCAGGCCAAAAAATCCGATTTTCTTGCAACTTCTTTGCCATTTTCCCACTGTGACTCTTCGCTCCCGACCTCCCATCATTCCTCTCCGCCTTTCTCCGTCCTCTTTGCTCCCGACCTCCGTCAAGGCTACGAGGGCAGCGGCAACGGCTTCCTGGTCCGGGCGCTGCCGAGGCTCCGACGGCTGCGTCCGGCCTTGCAGGTCTACGAGCTGAAGACCTCGTGGCGTTGGACCGAGGGATGTCCTTTGGAGGCCGCGAGAGGTCCTTAGAGCTTTTTTCCCGAAAGATTTGGTCGAAGGGCTCTTCCTAAAGGCACTTGGTCTGTCTATCTCAGGGTTTAAGCGCTTGTTAGCACTTGTAAGAGTTTTGCTCAGGCTTTAGCACTTGGTAAGAGTCTAGCACTTGCAAGAGACTTGATCAAATTTAGATTAAATTCGCATTTGCAAGAGACGTGACCAATGAGTAGCATTTTCCAGAGACTTGACCAAGGTTTGGTCAAGTTCTAGCACTTGCAAGAAAACTGACCAAGTTTTTGGACCTGCGAGAGACTTGACCAAGTTTTAGCACTTGCAAGAGACTTCACCAAGTTTTTGTCTTGACATGTTGAACCTTTCATTATCTTTAAAGCCAGGGCGGACCAAGCGAGAGAGCACGGGAAGCAATCCTCTCGCAGGATCCGGCCTGTCGAATGCCCGACCCTCTCGCGGGATCCGGTGTGTCGAGTGCCCAAGCGTGCAGCGACATGCGAATTTTGTGGGAGGAGGCGGATGAGTGGCGGTGCAAAAAAGGCTGGGTGTGACTGACATGGTTGTATGTAGTGTGTGGCACACCGTGTAGGCAAAGTCCGTCTGTGATGTCGCTGTGCCATGCGGTTTTGCGCGGTGTCGGTGAAAAAGTGTGCTTGCGTGAGTCTGTGTGGGGAGGAGAGCACGCTGGCGTAAATGCCGGCGTGTCGCTAGAGAGCCGGTGGGGTGGCGGTGTATACGAGGCTGTGTGTGACATGGTTGTATATAGTGTGTGGCGCGCCGTGTGGCCAAAGTCCGTCTGCGATGTTGCTGTGCCATGCGGTTTTGCACGGCGTTGGCGAAAAGTGCGTTTGCGTGAGTCTGTTGCACTTGGGGGAGGACAGCACGCTGGCGTAAATGCGGCTTGTCGCTGGGGAGCCGGTGGGGTGGCGGTGTATAAGAGGCTTTCTTGTGCACGTTTTGCTTAAAGCTTTGGGGCCATCAGGGCGCCTAGGTTTTTGGGCCTCCAAAAGATGGAGGCGTAGAGATGTGCGCGGTGTGTGGGTGGTTGTATGGGGGGTTGTGATATTGGTTGTTGCGTGCTCCAGAGTGTGGTTTTTCCTGTTCGAATGGCATTCTTGAGCGCTTGAGGGCTGCTGCTGTTGCAGTAGATTCAGTGCATGAGTTGAGACTGGGTTCCAATGTGTTTTGTCGGTGACTATAGTGTAGTGATTGGGTGAACTTGTGCATCCTCTAGCTGTGTTCAGGCCCTGTCTCGCTCAGCGCTGCTGTTGGATGCGAAACCTGTCGAATTGAACTGCGAAAGGGAAGAAATTGTCAGAGGTGCGCAAGTGGAAAGGGTGGACCGTGAAGGAGTTCAAGAGCACACCTTCAAAGAGATCTATGGTTTGTTGCGCGTGGGGCACTACAAGACGAAACCTTCTGACCTCGAAACATTTTTAGATGCTGCAGGTATCATTTGGCTGGGCATGAAGTATCAACAAACATATATTGGGATCACCATTTCGGGCATTGAAGAGCCGGTGGAAGACCTTCGGAAGGCGCAAGAGCTGTGGCTGGGTCGCTGTCAAGTGCCTCAGAACCTCACGGCGCAAACCCTTTCGCGCGACGCGGGGCTGTTGGACGCGTCGCGGCTCCGCTACGTGCGCATGATGCGCTGGTGTTTGCACCCGGATCTGCGTGGCTCGGGGCTGGGCGAGCGCTTGTTGAGAGAAAGCTTGAGGCATTTGAAGACGGAGGCAGTGGATGCGGTGGCCGCGCATTTCGGTGCCACGGCATGGCTGATCAAGTTGTGGCGCCGACAGGGTGCCGAAGTGGTCTTTGTGAGTCATGGCTGTGATCCGAGCAGTGGACAGCACAGCGTGAGTGTTTTAATTCCCCTCAGTGCGAGGGCACAGCGACTGACCAAGCTCTTGCAGCAGAAACTGGTGGGTGAACTGCTGGAACTGCTGTCTGGACCTTTGGCAGATTTGGAGGGTGATGCCTTGAAAGAGCTTCTTGTATCTCTTCCAATCGGACCAGACAGCGAAGACAGCATCTCGGCCTCCGACGTGTGGGGCTTCGCTTGGGGTGCACGAGGCCTCACACACTGCAGGCATGCCCTACGTCGAATGATTTGCAGGGTCTTGAGATGCGGGCGCACGAACTGGCTTCCAAAGCGGGATGAGCAGATCCTCTTGTCCCTTTTGCATGGCAAGCCGGTTCTAAGTGAAGACAAACTGCGGGCCGTCGTGCGAAAGCTACTGAGCACCAGTATGCCCGAAGGCCAGGAAGGATAGATCAGGTATGATCAGGTATGCTTGCGTCTTGAGCCCGATTTTCAAGCTTTTGGGTGCCATTGACCCTGCGTGCCCGCAAAAAGAAGGTGCGAACAGAACTTTGATGTTCGACTATCTGGGAGGACTTCCAACCTTCTGGAGTCTGTGACAATAGCAGCGGCCAAGTCAGTTCTGTGTGACCTTCAACATCCTTCAACCTTCGGAGTCCAAGTAGGAAAGGTATACTAGTCACTCATGGACCGGAATTTATGGTCTTGTACTGTGTCACGCGACCATGTCAATCAGGAACCCGGCACAGCATCGAACCGTGCTCAGCATCGAACCATGATTGCGAGCGCTTAGGCGAGAGCGCTGACCGCACATCTTCCGACAACGCTATCTTGCATGAACCTCTCTTTGAGGCAGTGGGAGCAAGCCATCGATTGGCAACAACAGTCCGCATTTCCTGCAGCTCCGTTATTGTAGGCGTCTCTCAGTGTCCAGAACACTCCTGCTATCCCGGCAAACACCTGCTATTTCAGGAAACCTATACCCTATACTATACTTGTACGATAGGATAATTACATATACTTACGATACTAGACTAGACTATACTATACTATATATAGAACCGATTGGCTGTAGGTTGGATTTGGATGGATTTTGTTCGGTGGTCCACAATGATACGCGATGTGCAACCAATCGTCTTTGGTTGATACAACGGATCGCGGACTGCCCAAGACTACCCAGGACTACCCTGCGCATCAGTTGAGTGCCCACCGATAGCCTGCAAGGCATTGCAGCCTTGGCCGTGATGGCGAGCAAGCTTTGAAACCATTGGCCCGACGGCACAGACCTTGGCTCGTTGGATCCACCCAAAATCAAGGTCATCGCAATGGTGAACATCACTTCAGCTATAGTAGGATTGGAACCGAAAAACAGTATACATCAGTTCTCAACTATCGGCTTTCGAATTTAAAACAACTTCCAACATACTTTTCCAAGAAACATCAAGAGTCAAGAGGGCATCCACCCTCACCACATAGAACCTGCATCCCCCATTCCTCCTCCATGCTCTCATATCAAGTTCTTTGTTTCGACAACTCTCCGAGTTCTCCAGGTGGAATGCTCTGCCCAACAGCTGGGTCCGGGTCTACGAGAAGACGGCGCTCAGCGTCGCCGAGCCCTCGGTCCCCCGCCGTTCCCGCCGTTCCCGCACCGCGGCGGGTGGCGACGCACCACGCGGCGACCCGGCCGAGGGGCTGCGGCATTGCAGCGAGTGGGACCTGTGGGATCGCCCGTGAAAAAGGGGGGGTCGGACGTGGTCCAAAGGCAGGTTCGGACGTAGCGTCCGATCGGCTCCGTTCGGTTAGCGATGCCAGGAGCCCCGTTCGTAGCGAAGCTTGTTCCTCGTAGTAAGGCCAGGAGCCCCTAGTGCATAAACACAATATCGGTCTGGTGCTGCTTTTGCTTCTTTCCTTTTTTGCTGAGGTTGGGAAATTCTCTCTTGTTTTACAATTTTGTTCAAAGGTGCTTGGCTCGGAAATGCGTTTCTCCTCAGCATAGGCTGGCTCAAACTTTACAGACATGGTGCATTTTTGACATTTCCAGTGCTCGATGATATACAGTATATATATATATGTACCTGTCTCTGCAGCAACCTAATTGATATCAGTAGAGGTGTACTTTCTGGTTGAAGTTCTTTCGTCCATTTGTGCAAGCCTATTCTGTTCAATTCAGCATAGCAAGCACATCCAGTATAGCTAGCATGATACCTGGCTCGCGGCCAAGTGTTCTTCCGACCTGTTTGGATTTGCTTACCGCTTGGTGCTGGAATTCAGATTCTAGGTGTGTGCGTTTGTGTGTGTATGTGTGTGCGTGTGTGCGCGCACGCGTGTGTGCATGTGGGTGATGTGCAACTGTTGCAATGCAGAGCTCTCAGTCGTGATATGCGACTCTTAGTTCTATGTGCGTCTCCAACAAGAACTGAACTGAGAATAACTGCAGTGGTTCCATGTCAATTCCACGGTCCAGTGTTGCCAGGCGTGCCCTCCATGGCCTCCACCGGAGCCTCTGATTCAGTCCGTTACTCAGAGGAACGGCACTTCATTGTGCCGGTGAACCGGGCCGATGTCGCAATGCTGTGCTTGAACAGGTCAGGAGCCGTGAGCTCTTCCTCTTCCGCGTCAAGTCCTCAATTAGTTGATAGATATTAAGATTAAGATTAAAATGAAGCAGTTCTGATCCATTTTGGATATGTTGGCTTCGTCTCATACTCAGACCTTCATGATTTCTTGATCATTCATGCTTTGTGGCAAAGACACTGGCTGGGCGACAAGGCCCTGGTCATTTCTGGATTTGACTTCCCCGATCAGGCACAGCCGGACACAGCCTGACACAGCTTGTTGGACAACCTCTCGGACTCATCGCACTGCTTTGCTTTCGACCCGCAGGTCGCAGATTCTCTTCAACCTTGTGGGTGACTTGCTGTGCTACAGCGGGGCCAATGAGGCAGCGAAGCGCATTTCAGCAGGGGGTGTCAGATCTGCAGCGACATGCTTTGCTGATATTTTGGGCGACTCGGATGCCAGGTCAACATCCAATTGAGCATTGTCCGCTCTGCTTGTCATGATCTTGGAGTGCTTCTACTAGTAGCAAGATGCTACGCACGGTGGAGGCCATCGCTATTAGGTTGGAGGCCACCCTCGCAACGAACGTGGTCCGAGATGCTTCGGACCCTGCCGGTCTGGTCCGAGAGCTCCTCCCGTGGTCCGAGCGGTCAGGTCGGGAGCTCCGCGACCAGATCGATGAAGAGCCGGGGGATCAGCGGGGGATCGATGCGGCGCGTCAACGGTCGGAGACGGAGAAGAATCTGTCAGAGACAGGATCGGTGTAACTGGTTTTAAGTCTGATGTCTTATTTATGCTTCCCTTCTGTGAGAAAAAACACACGCAGACCCTGTCGCTTTCAAGATGGTGTGTCGAAGTACGTCGAAGTCTTGTGAGAGTGACCCTGTCGCCTCATCCGCGTCTCATCCGGCCCAAGAACTTGCGACGCATCAGGTGCTTGACTTTTAACTATGACGACAATTGTGGGCTGGGCCCGGTGCCCGGGCTGTCGAAATGAGCGCTGACCCGCTCGACCGACTTTTTCCGAGGTGGAAGCCGCTCGCGTGACCGAGACGAGATCATTGCTCTGAACAACTGGAGCCGAGAGCGCTGGAATCGGAAGTTGGACTTGGCATATTTGGCATGCTCGCCCTGATACAATATGATAGAATGATACACATGCCGACCATCCACAAGCCACCAATTAGAGGTTGATCCTGACCGAGCTATTGTGTCGCATTGTCGTTTATTTTTTTCCCCTTCTTGTTTTATTCTCGTTATTTTCTCAACATTCTGATCATTCTGAGGATCCGAATCTGGGATTTCAATCCACAGAGTCAGTGGTCACTTGGCCACTCGTTTTTGGTCGCAGGATCTCGCGGCACCCGCGATTGAAATACTTTGAGTGCATGATTCGGAATGCCACGGGCCTCAGACGTGAACCGAACACCGCTGGCATCGGCCCTCGAACGCGCTCAGGCAGCGAAATTCCGAGTGCTCTTGGAGGCCAAACCAACCTGGCTGGGTGCAGGGAGGGTAAGCCTTGAATTTGGTATTGGAAGAGGGACACGTGCTTCGCACCCAAGAGGTTTACCATCATTTCACATCATTTTACAGTCTTTGACTTTTTGGTGGAATTATTTTTGGACCTTTGGGTCCTTTTTGGGGCTCTTGGCGATGTTGGCCCCGATCCAGGAGCTGCGATTGCCTCCAAATACTCGCTGCAGCTTCGTCTTTGAGTTTAAGGCAGTGGAGAAAGAACATGGTGGGCCAGATGGGTTTGAGATGGTTTGAGTCATTTCATGTTATTTGAAGTCATTTGAGCTTAAGATATCGTTTGCAACTTGAACAGACCCAACACATCGCCGCCTTGAGCCAGGTCAGTGCCCGAGAGGTGGAGCAACTCCTGTGCCGCTTTTGCGCTCCTTGGCTGGAACAGCGGAGCGCTTGTTCCGCTCATTTCGGGTCTGCTCATTGGCGCGTTTCACTCGCATGGTGTGCCTACTCTTCGAAGAACGAGTGTCATCCGAATGTGCGTAGTAGGAACAAGAAGCTATTAGGAACAAGTGCATCGCTAGTAGTAACAGGTGCCTTACTAGTAGTAACAAGAAGCGAACGTAGTAATGTTCCCATCCGAACCTCGACAGAACTTTTGAGTCTTTGGCCACGGCCACAGAGGATGACCGTCTCAACGCAGGTTGAGAGACTGTGCGCTCCGTTGAGGTTCGGAGACTATCGTTGATGCCCGAGGACGAAAAGGACGTGTCAGCTCGGCTCATCAACGATGTCAGGTGAGTGTTGCCAAGATGTCAGCTGACACAATCGTAGATGTAGTATTTGTAGTATTTCTTTTACGTGAGCGGACAGTACCCCCAAGGTATATAGGTGGACAAGCTTCATCTCCTCGTGAACATGTGGAGATCATTTCTACCCATTGAGGAAGCTGTGTCTACCAAGGTCACTCATCAACATTCATCCACCATTTCAGCTGACTTACGACCCGTGTCGCTGCCGAAACGACCCGAGTGTCGCCCATCGGCGGAACGGAACCATCGGCGGATGTCCGGGCCGAGAGTCGCCTCTCGGGCAGGACCCACAAGGCGGCTATCCGAATCCGAATTCTCGCCCCTCCTGGCAGGTGATCGTCTCAGAGACCGTCAGAGAGACCATTCTTTTTCAATAAGAGACATGCGGGGCAAGTCTGTGTGAAGACACACATGGCCTCACACACATGTACATACTGTATCCGACTATAATGGATGGATGCAATGCCATCGCAACGATCTTATAGTACCATGGAACATTCAATGCCGGATCTCCCTCGCATGATCATTGCTGAGGCAACCCCCAGTCTGCACGTTCTCTGCCTGAGAAGGTTCCTTGCTGCGATTCGATGAATGATTCGTTTCATCCGAAAAAACAGCCGATCATCCACAGATCCTCAACGGCCGGACTGCTTCCGATCGGCCTTGCTGGCAGTTGTTCGGACGAGATGGTCCAGTCCTTCTTCTCGGTGAGTCCCAGACTGCGAAGACTTCAAGTGGTGGGGGGGGGCCCGGCAAGACGGCGAGACGGACGGCGACCTCCCGGGTCCGGAGTTTCATGGAGTTTCATGGAGTTTCTGTTGGTGAAACCGCAGGTGGATAGCAAGTTGCAGAGCATTCCAAGCAACATTTCACAGAACCTCACAAGCCTGAGCCTCACTGGGGCGCTGCCGGCAAGTTTGCTTTAATCTTTTTCCTTTCAATGTTTTGTCGCAGCAAAAGCGAGCTTTCGCAGCGCTTTGCGGTTCCAAAGCCGCCAGATTACCAACCTCCCAGATGAGCAGCTCTCGAAGCTCTTGATGGCATGCGAAAATCTCCGGCTTTGCTCTCAGGGCGTTTTTCGGTCGTGGTCACGAAGTGTGTGTTGCGTGTGTTTTCGTGTTTGGCTGACCTGGCAGTCCCAGGTCACTCTACATCGCCAAATCCCACATGTCTCACATTTCTTTTGCTTTACCAAAGCTGGAGCTCCTGTCTGCCGGGCCCCTCATGACCGGTCGCTGTGAAATCATGACCGATCGCTCGGAACCTGTGGGCTCTCCATTCGATGTGGCCAGGTGACCCATTGCCGGCAGCTCACAGACCAATGTGCCACAGAGATCCTCTCGCCAGCGAACAATCCTCGCGTGAAGCCCAGCGAGACGACTGGAGACGACTGGAGACGACTCGAGACGCACAGGAAGTACGACTCAACCGATTGGAAGTCGTAAGTCTGTTTTGATTGAAAGGCACCGAAGTGTCAAAAGCAAATAAAAGCAAAAAACCGCATTAGCGTGCTATGGGCCGCCCAAAGCTGGCTCCCACACCCAGTCTGTGAAGCAGGTTTCGTTGCCAGACCCAGACCGAGCTGTGGCATAAGACTTGAGATCCGAGCTGTGCTGGCAGGCTTGAGATTTCTGGATTTGTCGGAATGCAGAAGCCTCTTGGCTCCCACCGTCGGGGGCCTCCAGCATTTCTGTTACACATGAGATCAAGCACATAGAGAGAACATGGTTTCCTGCACCCTTCGTTCGGAAGGGAGTTGCTCTTCTATACATACTCTCAATTCTGCCGTCACGTTTTCCACCGATTGCTTTCTTGGAAAGTAACTAAGGGAGGGGCATTTTTTTTGAAAAGGGGACGCTGTGGGGGTGCGCTTTTTTCCAATGTTTTACACACAAAATCAGCCAAAAGAGTATGTGATCAAAAGACATCTGCTTTCTCACACACACACACACTTGTTAAGTGGCACAATCTGCTGGGAAGGTATCAAGAATTTAGAAACAACCACAAAAAGACAAACAAAAAACAAGGAATCTAAAATTCCAAAAAATCCAAAAATCCAAAAATCCAAAAAATCCAAAAAAATCCAAAAAATCCAAAAATCCAAAAATCCAAAAATCCAAAAAAACACACATCTATTCCTGAGCCAAACATAGATCTGTTTTTTTTGGATTTTTGGATTTTTTGGATATTCTTAAGCTTTGGTAAGGAATTGAAACTTCTGGGAATGCCTCCATCAATCAATCATCACATCTCCACACAAAAGTAAAAATCACGCATGAAATCTCTGCCACACCATCCAATGTCAAAAATTCAACTGAAAATCAGGCATCATCTTCTTTCCAAATGCCTCTTTGGCTTTGCAAAGAATTCTGTGTGATAGATTTTGTGATCTCAAGGCAATCTGCTCTGCTAGTTGCGTAGTACTTTGTATCCTCACATGGCCGTGGACCCCGAGAATATGAGTTTGACTTCGGCAATCGATGCTACGGAGCATCTCTTGCTCAGGGAACTACCTGCTCACGTCCATGTCGGGCCTCTTCCGCAAGGCTTGGTGACCCCATTAACGCTGCCTGTGAAGGAGCGTCTTGCCTTGTGAAATTTTTATGATTCTAAAAAATTTGGTATAGTTAGCGTAACTCGCGGAGACGAATTCTTTTAAAGTGCATCGATCAAGCATTTTCTCGACATCATCTACGATGTCAGCCATGAGCACATCAACGTCGAGAATCTCAAGGCAGTCATCCGCGATAAGGCATGGCATGAGCTCCCTCCAGTCCTGCAACTCAAAGAACGCCCCCACTTTCAATACATTTCCCAATACTTTGTGCTCACTCAGACCGACGGTAACCTCTGCCTGGTGAAGCACTACTATGTGAAGGACGACAAGGTTCCTACATTGCTCGTCTGCTTCAAGGTCGTGGATTTGAAATCGGTTGGGCCAAGGTGAACAAGCAACAAGCCCGTCGAGGCCTGCAATACATGCTGGAACAGCTTGGAGGACATCAATTTCGGCATTTCTCTCTTTCCGCTAAAAAGCGAAAAGCATCGAGTGCGGTGGCTGCGTTGCCGGAAGATGAGCAAGACGCAGGATGGGATTTTATCATTGCCAATGGAGAGCGGGGCCGCAGCAATCTGAAGCAACTGCTGTGGATCCATCGCCACATCAAGCGGGATGGAAGTCCCATCAACGGGTGGAATGAAAAGCTCGTTCAAAGAGGCTTGGACAGCTTGGCCAATGATGGTGCCTTGGCTGCTCTCATCAGCAGATATGATTTGACCATTGCCGCCCTTCACCCTGACCTCCTCAGCATGCTCGAACGCATTCTTCCACATCTTCGGCTTCACTCGTTGTGGCTTCTTGGTCAATCTGGTGTCGGAAAAACGCCCTTAGCCCGGATCATTGCTATGATGTTTTCCCGCCACTATGGGGGCACAGGTACATTTCGCACTGCATCGGAGTTTGATTTCTTTCGAGGTCTTTTCTTTGAGAAGACCTGCCCGGCTGTCTTCGACGATGGGACCATCGGCAATGAAACTATCAAGAAGAAGAAAGCCTTCAGTGATGTAGGCGATCAGGAGACCATTACAAAAGAACGCTGGAACGCCGCCAAGTTCGTTCGGCATCAACTTCGTATTGTCTGTGACAACCAGTATGATCCAGAAAGGGAGCCCACCAATGCTGACATCGACAACAAAATTGAACACGAAGCATTCCTCAGAATGGTCAGGCCAGCCATTGGTGATGTATCGGATGCAGATTCGATGGCAGTCTTGAAGCGTGCAGCTTTCTTGCTCTTCACCAAGGAGAACATCTACTTTCGATTTCCGACAGAAAGGAAGGTCAAAGTTGAGCGCTTGCACTGGCCTCGGGGCGACATCTTGACGGATGCCTGCAAAAAGGACATCGCCAACATGAAGGCGGGCGGGCCACCGCCAGAAGACTTTGAGGCATCTGTTGCTTGGGAGTGTGCCTGGCTCGCTGAAGCCCCTCGCAAGCATGACCATCCTGTACAACCTGCGGCAGCAGAAGGACGTGAGCCAACTCCTTTGGTTGATGCTCTTCTGCTCGCTGATCATGGAGCAACGGCTTCGGGTTCGGCTTCTTCGGTTCAACAGCTATGTCCACCTCCTGTAGGCAACTTTGGGATTGCAGATTCTTCTCTCTCATCTGTGGTTTTGCCTCCTGGGCGCATCAAAATGGAAGCTGAAGAATTTCACGAGGGCCATGCATGGCTTGCCAGAGAATGCGCTAAAGATGCCGTGAATTGTGACAATGACCCGGTCATTGTCGATTGGTCGCGGCCAGTGCTTGTGAAGAGAGAGCCGGAGATCTTTACACACCTTCGTGATGCTCCAAACCAGTTGATTGAGCTGGACACACCCTCACCTTCTCCAAAGAAGCGAGCTACCCAAACAGCAGTGCTCAACCCACTCTCCTGGCCTCCCTCAAAGTGAAGATGACCTTGCTGCACCTTCTGCAGAAGAAGAGTCTGATCATTTCCCCAGGGTTGGAGAAGCGCCATCTTTCGACGTGGACTACGAGTCGGCCATGAACGAGGCAGGTGGATGTGGTGACCTTGTTTCTCAGGATTCTTCTGGTCCAGGCTTCAAAGATGTATGTTTGGTTGAAGCGTTGCGGCAGCTTGGCTGTCCTGTGGAGTGCATTCGTGATGGGCCTTTCACTGCTATGGATGGTTGCGAAATGCTCAAACCTCTTGGAGTTGGACTTCAATACCTTCGTCATGGCGCTCCACTCAGACCGGGCAAATACATCGTACTAGACCATGAGAAGAAGCATTTCTTTGCGGTACGCCATGTGGAGGGTTTGGCTGTGAAGCTTGATGCAGGTGTGGCAACACATCTTCCCTTGAGTTCTCTCGCTGACATTAGCTTAGATCCCATGCTCTATGTCTTCAAGCTTGTCCATGGCCATGCTGTACCTTCGTCCTTTGAGGCCTTGCCGTATACTCTGCGAGGAGGTGCACTTTCCGTCTCCAACAAGTATGTGTGTCCATTAGAAGTGTCAGTGTCCAGGATGTGATGGCAACCTTGTCTACCACAAGGAAGTGGATGCAATGTGCTACGATCTGAATGGTCCGTTTGAGGTCACACATGTTCAAGTGTGTTGTGGATCACGCAATTGCCGTTCCAACTATGGCTACAACTACAGGTGGGAAAATGGAAGCAAGGTAATTGTCTTGTCGATGAAAGACCTCAAAGACAACATTCTCTTCATTACTTCCAAAACGGCCTTTACCGTCCAGTACCTGCGCTACCACATTGAACTTCTTTTTCGTGGGCACTTGTCAGCAAGGGCCATCGAGCACGCCTATGAAGCGGTCCATGGTGATGCAGATGCGGAGATTGCTACCCGGTTCCGCAAGCTGCTTGGCACGGGGATTTTCTACTACCTTGCCATTGAAGAGCTTGAAAAACTCAAAGCGCACAAGAGTGTCGTCATTGATAACGAAATCAGTAATGAGCACTTGGACCTCTATACAGCATTTTGCTCGAGTTCACTTTTTCCACCTCAGAACCGCAAGCTTGTGACAACGTTGGTGGGAGATGGAACTCTCAAGTTGAAGCCCCGATGTGCAGTTGAACCACAGAAAAGAGCAGGTGGCCCCCGCCAGTCCGAACACAGTGGGTCAGCGATCCAACGGCTGGTTCATGATCTGTGATCCTCGTAGTAGCAGAATCTTGAACATAGCAGTGATGCATGAGCCCGAGCAAAATGAGAACCCCATTCACATGCAGCAGTCCATGCTATGGCTATATCCCAAGGCTGATTGCTTTGTATATGACCGCGCGTGCTCCCTCAAACCTTCCGCAGAGGTCACACCTGGTCTGGAGCAAATCCAGTATTACATCGTGGACAAGTTCCATGCCTACCGTCATGGCACGCAGTGCTCTTGCAACCCCCGCATCTTGGCAAATCTGCATACCTTGGTGGTTTCATTGGTTTCATCTGCTTAGCAAACTCTACAACTTACCCAATGTTAAGAGAGTCAGAAAGTATTAAATTCACACTAACAAACACCAACCAAGATTGCCTGGACACCTTACGTATCAAGAGATCGTTGGGACAACGTGTGAAAGGCGTCAATACCAACTTGGCAGAGCAGGTGTTTGCCTGGTTCAAGAACTATGCCCCCGTGATCAATGAAATGCGTGAGAATAGGCGTGGCATAGATTTCTACTTTTTTGGCTCGCAAAGAGGCACAATGATGCACTCCTACATGGCAGCGCCTCATATCTTCGCTCCATCCCCAACAGCAAGTCCAAGACGACAAGCAAATCGTACAATTGCTCCAAGAACAAGAAGACTCCAAAGGGAAAGAAGGTGAAGAAGACCACCATGAAGGGAATGAAGGTAAAGAAAGTCATGAAGGGCATGAAGGTGAAGGGTATGAAGGTGAAGAACGTCATGAAGGCCATGAAGTGAGGCGCTTGAGTAGAGACAATTTTCATGTGCATGTGATCACGTCGATCACAGCTAATACAAAGACGCAAGATGTGAGCAAGACAAAAAGCTGAAAAAACAATTATAAACCATCATAAAGCATGGAAAAAGCGCACCCCCACAGCGTCCCGCTCTCTTTTTTTCGTGTTATTTTTTAATTTCTATTTTTTCGGACTCTGCTTTTGCTGGGTTTCTGCTTCTGCTGCTTTTTTGCTTTTGTTGCTTTTCTGCTTTTGCTGCTTTTCTGCTTCTGCTGCTTTTCTGTTTTTTGTGTTTTTGTCTTTCTGCTCTTTGCTTTTGTTGCTTTTCTGCTTTGGCAGCTGTTCTCCTTTCTCTTTTTGTTTTTGCTTTTCCATCTGTTTGCTTTCTAACCTTTGGATCTGGTGTGCTGCTGGGGGGGGCGCTGCGCCCCCCCCAACCCCCGCGCCACGAAATCTGCACTTCATCTCCGACACCCGCGCCTGCCACGAAATCAATATTTTAAGGTGAACTTTGCGGGGCATAAACTTCTAACCAGTCATATATGCCTCCTGTGCTGGTTCTCTTTCTCTTTACTGTTTCTCTGCTAACGTAGGACTTTCTCTGACACCTACACTATTCCAATGTATTTGGCCAGCTACGACACCTGTGTCTCGGCTAAGGACACGAAATTGCTGTAATTAGCTATAGGTACTAATAAGAAACCTGCTCTATTCCAATGTTTTTGAAAAATCCCGAAAACAAATGAAACAAATCCAAAATTAAACGTGCACCCGTAACTAAGTAACTTAAGGTCGAGCATCCGGAGCTTGAAATCGCGTGGCTGATGCATTGCCCACAGCTCACCGGACAGGCGCGAGGAAGGCAACGACGCCACATCATGTCCACCATGCTCACTTCGTCTCCAATGTGCTGACTACACAGTTCCTCCCTTCGTTTCATGGGTCTTCGTCGTGCGGAACGGCTCACTGACGGAGCAAAGCAGTCGCCAGGCGGTCTCTGCCATGTCAAGTCCTCGGCAGCGCTTCGGCGCTTCGACTCTGCCGTTCCACTTCGGGGCCAATGGATTTGGCGCATTTTCGCGGAAGGTTTAAAGCATGCACTTCTTTGACTGCGGTGAACCTGGCCACGAGCCCAGCGACTGCGTTCCTTAGAGTCGGGCGTGGCTTCCGGCGAACTTGAGCTAGATTCATGGGCTCCACAAACGTCTCTCCACATGGTGTAGTTGTTGTTTTTAGAGCTGAGGAGGGGAGGTAGGCCGAAGTAGGGAGCGGCTACTTAGTATATAAGTAGCGCTACTAGTAGCTGGGACGCAAGAATATCGCTCTGGTACTATTTATTTGGTTCCTAGATCTTTTGGGTCAAGTGCCCTTACCTTCCTTTACTATGATCTGTTTTAGTTGACGTGGCTATCAGATTGCGATGTCTCAGCTTTCTTTGGTTCAAGTCTTTTGGGTGGTGCATCTGCAGGGCACCGGTGAAGCCGGCGAGATTGAACAGAATCGGTTCAGCGCGCCTTTGGACGCTGAAAGCCACCAGTTTGTTGAGGAAAGAGTCTTTTCGGGGCGGGTCTACTATATAGTAGCTTCTTGCTACTAGTAGTGATGGCCTCCAACCTACTTGCGATGGCCTCCACCTAATAGCGTTTGAATTGCAAAGTTTATCAGCTTCCAAGTTCGTTTTCCGTGCTGTAGTTGTCCACGTTAAAGGTTGGCCTGATTGGCCTTTGCCACTCCAGTGGAAGCGTTCGTCATCGTTCGTCAATGTGAGTCATATTTTTCTGAGCCAGGTGCAAGATCTCTTGCGCATGGCGCGCTTCGCGTGGTGCAGCCTGGACTCCTGGAATCTCCTGGACTTCTGCGGCGGCATTGTTCTTCTCCAACCAGTCATGTCAAGTACATGTAGCAGGGTAGGCATTGGCAAATTTGGCCTTGTTCCACATGAAACGTTGTACAACGCCAACAATGTACTCATCTTACATGGTCCAGATGCCTAGTGTCGGGTGTCACAGTGGTACAGTGGTGAGTTTTCTTGTACCAACCAACCTCAAGACGTATCAGAAGACCTGGGTCGAGGCCTGCTCCTCCTCCAAACGAGTGCTAGCTTTGTGCCCTTTGCAGACGTCGAGGCAAGGCTGTGCAGATTGAGTTCAAACAATCTGCGAACTGCCCTTTTTGTTTTTGTTCGGTTCATCCACTTGACTCAGACATTAGTGCCTTTGTTCATTCTCTTCATCTCATCTCAGGAACTGAAGCCACATCGACTGCATCCCCACTGCGCAGATGCTGTTGACGAGGACTCTTTTGGGTACGTTGTTGGAATTTCGAGAAAGCCAGAGAACAAGTCCACAAGTCAACCTCGCATGTGCCGATTTGAGGATGGTCACCGATGGTGTTCAAGATCCTTCAAAAAGCGTCTTGCAGAGCCTCGGGCCATTGGTTTTCTCGAGAGTTCGGGCCGAAGAGGAGGTCCAGACTTGCCAAAATCGTGACTCGTGCACCCCAAAGCTCTGGCTTGTCATGTAAATGTAAAGTTCCTGCCCCATCAACACCATGCCCACAGTGCCCTGAGGATGGGGCAGATATCGAGCTCAACTGGAAGATGCACGTGGATCCTGACCGAATTCTGTCTCTAGACACAGAGGTGCTCGGATTGAAAGCCATCCAAATAAATGGAGATGCTCTTCAATTCTCCGCCAAACAAGTGTGTCCCTGTGCCACTCCTGTGCAAACAAGGCGGAACATGGGGTCAAGATCTCAAGATGTGCTCCGGACGAGCCTGGCGGCCCGGAGGGTGCTTTCCGAAGCCCCTAAAATTGGAGCTCAGTTGTGAGGAGCAGGATGGTACCAACCTTTCTTTGGATGGATGCCTAGTAGATTTGATATGGGGGTTTTGGGATTTCCTTGGGAAGCTCAATTCACGAGCGGCTTGAGGCTGGAGTTGTTTGTTCCGCATTCCCACCTTCAGCGCACCTGGCATGATTGACCAAGCTAAAATCACCTGCTGCCTGAAGAGCTAGCAAAGCTTGTATATTTAAAGAGCTGCTGAATCGAATCGCAGGCACCTGGAAGTGGGCAAATTCATTGTTGGCTCGCCATTCGTGCATAATTGCCAACATCAGCCCGAAAGCGCAATGTACCACAAGGTTGTACAGGCGGGTGACTGAGTGGTGCATACTTGCTTCATCGGACTGTCCGTTGGTTTTGTGGGCTTCTCAAGGTCAAGAGGAAGAGAACGGCAGATGGAGGAATTGGAAACATGTTCCACTTTCACATCGCTACGCAGGCGACGGAGAGACTTCCACACACACGCAGGTTACCTGCGAGTTCACCATTTGCCAGTGACTTTTCCATGTGAGTGACATACGATGAATTCGGACGGTTGGAGGCAGTGCCCCATATGGGTTGGACAGCCAAGCATATCGAGTACAACTTCAGCTACATGCCCGTAGAGGTGCGGAACACCGGTCGAAAGCTAAACCATCGAAAGCTATTTGAGCCCTGGGTGCAAAAAATGGCCATACATGGTCATACTGACATCTTTGATCACATTTACTTTACAACTGAAACGAACCTAACCGCTTCGTTTCTGGTCTTTGGCATCGACCGGGTCGAAATGCCATGCAGCCTGAAGCCGCTTTCGCTTCGCTTACAATTCCAGCGCCAGGCGCGGGAGATTCACAACCCGTGGCCGGAGAGGCGTCAGGAACCCAGCACGAAGAGATGCTGAGAGCAACACGGTTCTCTTTTGCAGTCCATTTGTTGGTTCCCACCCCACACTGCCTTTCTTTGGTTCTGTTTTTCCCTTCATGCTTCTAGATCCAAACTGAATCTGCACCAACATTTCGCCAAGGCACAAAAAGAGACATCTAGACACTTCTTCTGTTTCTTCCCCTTGACCCCCTTGACCCCTTCCCCAAGGATCGTACCTGGATCACTCTTCTGAGTCGCGAAGGCTTCAAGGTTTCCAGTTTCCCGGTGCCTCGGCAGCACCCGGTGCGCGGTGATCGGTGCGTGATTGTCACCAATTCAGTCCAGGTTTGCGAGTGCCACGTCAAGGTTCAGACACTTCTTGGGTTTCAGAACCGACTTCTTCAGCTGGTTTTGGCATTGGGCGAACCCGGTTTGCTGCTCGGGCCCGAGGCTTTGCTCAGCCCAGTGCGGGCAACATCCAGTCGGCAGGAGCGGGTGCCCGTTTGGTCTTCTGGGGAAGGGCTTTTCGGAACTCCCGGACTTGTCAGAAGGATGAGAATCTTCAGTCGGAAAAAGGTGAGACAGGTGAGAGACAGGTGAGAGATGTTTGACCCGGACATATCAGTTTTGATCGGATTCAAAAGTTGGAGATCTCACCCATTTTTTGTCCCTGTCTTGCCATCACAGTCCAGCGGTATGACGAGCACCAGGACAGTCCAGCGGTAGCATGCAGAGAAACAACGGTATCGTGAGCTTCAATCCGGATCAGGTGCGTCGACCGGTCGTGCCGTCGATCTTCGGTCGACTTCGTTGGTCGGGAAGATGCCGTTTCGGGTCGACCCTTTTCGTTTCTTTTGCTCCCTTACAGTTGGACTATGTTGGACTGGTGGTCAAACACGGACCCTCGTGCGTTAGGTGCTTTGGGGAAACGATGGGCCGTCCGGGGGTTTGCTCTTGGGCCGACGCGCGAAGTCTCCAGGTCTCCAACTTTGGATGGAATTGGGACTTCTTCCTGAACGAATCCAAGGTGCGTTTGTGCGTTTGTGCATCGCTGTGCCGTGTGGGACGAACGGGTTTGGGACACGCGCGATCGCTTCGCTGGCTGCGAGCGAATCGCCGTGATCAGACGCCAAAGTTCGTCATCGACCAGCCGGACACTCAAGGGATTTTCATTCTGGAGAACCCTTACATCAAGGTGCGCGAACTGTGCTTTTTGTGTGGTGTGGTTCCATGAGGTTCCATGCAAACTTGGGGGCCGCCTCGGCTGTTGAGTTTCTGATTTATTTCGTTCACTTCACTCGAAGGCTCATGCTGGCTGCTTCCTCAACTTTACTTCAAAGTTTCAAGGCACTTGTGGACGTGGGAATAGGCTTGAACCATTTCACACAAACTCTTCGTCTGAGTCTCGCTTTGTGTTGCTTTCTTCAGATCGCGCGGCTTCACGTTTCAGCACAGGCTTCATGAAGGCTCCCCACATCATCTGGCAAGCAGGTCTCAAAGGGCACGGCATTATGCAGGCTGGGCCTCGGGGCCTCGACTGCTATCGGCCATCTCGTTTGGTTTGTTTCAGCCTGACCTGGCTACGGCCTGGTCATTTTGGTTTCCTTCGTACTTCAATTCCACCATTTGGACACGTGGACAGCACCATTGGGTGTCAGGGGCGATTGAGAGCTTCGTTGAACAGCACCCGGCCTATGTCCTTGGTGGGGCACTCAGGTGACCAAGGCGACAGCGGAGACCTGACACCTTTCGACATGTTTTTTTACGGTGAATATCGCCAGGTCGAAGGATTCCGCTTGTTTGGGATGCTCAGGAAGCTTCATCTTACAAGATCCCTTCGGAAGTTCTGGAGCGCTTGGTGTGATCGTTATATGCAAAGCTATATCAAGCTACTTGACTTTTGTTCTTTGGAACAGGGACAAACAAACCATAGATTTTGCTCGAGGAGAACTTCCCCTTCCTTCGCATTCTCACGAAGTTCGACAAGACTAGATGGTGCCATGAAACGCGATATGCGTGAACATCTGTACCTACCCTTCGCACCTTTTGCGTTCGAACGGTTGAGAATCCGCTATGCTGCGAATGGATGGCAGGTTCAACCAGGTCAGTCACGGTGTTGGCCCTATGCCGGCTGCTCAGTTGTGATGAGGAACATCGCACACCGCTGACCGTCGCTGACCGCTGAACCGCGGGTTCTTCGCAGGGCCGCAAGCTTCACACCAGGCTTCCAGTTTCAGGCAGCTTCCGAGCTTCAGTCCAAGTGGCACCTCCATTTCCAGCGCAAGTGGCGTCAGAGCATTGTAAGAGTAGTTAAACTATGTTAAACGCATGTGCGCCATGGCTCCTGTGGCGTTTCTTTCGGGAAGACTCAACAAAGCTCTCTTGATCCACTTCGATGGACGAGCCGGAGTTTAGGACAAAGTCATGATTTCACGAATCGCAGTTTCTCCAGGTCTAAAACAACTGACACGCAATCAGCAGTTTCGCTCAACTGCCAGATGGAAGTCTACCACAAGGGCGTGTTTCATGGCTTCCTCGCCACTGGTGGCAGGCAGATTTCTTTTGGATAGAGCAGATGTGGGAAACCGCACTCGCAATTGCCTCAACATACTGGAACCAACTAACAGGCCGCTGTGATATCTGATGTTTTCTGATTTGGCTGATCTGGGCAATAGATGAAGACGAGTCTGAATGACAAGTGTATGGTTCAAAGTGGAACTGAAATTCGGAATTCCATGCAATTCCCAGGAAGCTCAATGAGCCGCTCCAGTTTGCATTGCAACAGCATAGGAACAGCATCGGCTTGACTGAAGAAGTAGTAAGAAGTGGAACGCTTCGTTTGGCAAGCACTGCACGAAACTCGCGCCCAGTACCCGTGGGGTGATGATGCCCATTTTGCACTTCGATTCCCTGAAGGCTGGTCTCCTGGTAACGGCCAAAACTCGGGGCAGTCGTGGCGTGTGCCGAGCGATCGGTGCTTGTGTTTGCGATCGGTACTTTCCATCCAGGGCTTCGAGCAGACCATCCAGGGGGAGCTTCTGAACACCACGGTGTTTCCGCCTTTGTACAAGATCTTCACCGAGTGAGACACTGAGCTGACTGAGTTCAACAACGCCGCTGACTGTTCTGGCACATCGTCCTCCTTGTGAAAATCGTTGCCCCCCCCGTATTTGGAGAGCTGGGGAGACTGTGGTACTGTGGTAGTACTCAATTGCGTCTATATACACCTGATTATATCTTGACAGTAATATATATATATATAGATTATAGATCTATTTTTCTTGATATGAACAGCTATGTTTGTATTATTACAGTCTATGAAAGGACCAACATGATCATCCACTTTTCCAACATTTGATGCCGCTCTGTTTCTTCTGACACCGCCTCTCCAGCGGTGTCGCGCGCTTTTCGCATCACCCGTCGCACTCGAGGGTCTTCGAACTCGGTGTTCGCGCGGACCCCATCTTCCACTTGAAGCCCGGGCGCCGAGCCGCCGGGCGGTGAAGCTGTGAAGCTCGGCTTCGTCTTCGTTTTTATTTTGTTCCCCGGTTCCCGCCGGCCGCGCTGCCCTTCAGGGGTGACTTCATGGGCTTCCAGGGTGTTGAAGCGGCCATGCACTTCCGTGCCTATCAGAATCCAAGCAGAGTCAGCAAACGCAGAAATGACCACATTGATAAGTGAAAATTATTCTAAGATATTATGCTCGTTCATAAGGCTTAAAGCTCAGAGATGGTCTGCATGTTGCATTGTCTTGCCGAAGTGGATGCCCCTGCCAATCTCAGGAACTGCACCATCTCCAGACAGGGTTCCGTCCACTTTGACGTCGACGCTCGCAAGGACGGAGATGATTTGCTCGAGCGCAAGCAAGCAAGTCCGAGCGGGAAGCCAGTCCTCTCGTCCGTGCGGTCTGTCAGGCCGCAACTACTTAGACTTAGATCTGCTTAGGATGTAGTGAATAGAATGGATATGAACAGCAAATCCTCTCTAAACATAGATCTGCTTATGATTGGATAGCCTTTCTAGACGGCATGATGCACCACCGAGAGGCCGCAAACATGAAGTGCAAGGTCAAACAGTCACCGGTTGCATGCCTTTCTTTTTTGGCGTGTGAACAGCGGCGTGTGCTAGGCTTTGGTGGTCTATCCCTTCCGAGTTGTTGGCCCAAATCAATTGGATTTCAACACCAAGTGCTCCCAGAACTTCCGCAAGAAGCTGCTCTGGGAGCCTTCCAGCTGGTTTTTCTTCCTCTCTTAGCCCTTTTCGAGCCATTTTAGCCCACAGATCGTGTTTCACGGTTTTTCAAACCGTCCTTTTTTCACCCCCAAAATGCTGCGGGTTTCGCACGAGGGCGGCAGAAAAAGCGGGTGAGGTACCAATTGAAGATGCAGGCGAAGGGTGTTGAGAAGGTCACGTCACCCACCACTTCATGGGGGCAAGTGGAGCTCCTTGGATGAAATCGATGTTCTTATCGCGACAAAAAACGCGAGCTTTCATATGGAATATTTGGTGAGGATTTTTGTCTTTTGGAACACAATAAAGATTCCACGGGTTTTGGATCTGATGACTTAGATTTGTCCAAACCTGGTGTACGTATCTTCTTGCTCCCCCGTCCAGTTTGATGGGAAGGAGTGGGGGAACCTTTGTGAGTCAAGAGCCCTTCCTGCTGATTTGGGGGTCATGCTCAGAAACAGGGGAGTCCAAGTAGTGGTGAGAGTGGTGAGAAATTGGGAGGTTCCACGAGCCGATCTCGAACTGCAACTTTGGGAATTTCACTGAAGCCGAAGTCGAGAACGTGGCCATTACAGTGATCCTCGAGAAGGCTGAAGCGCCAGACTTGCGGTTCTCCCGCGGAGGCGGTTCCAGCTGCCCGCGGGCGTTCCCGTGACAGGTGGATACCACGACAGGAGCGGTCACTCAAATGGGCTCGGAACTTGGCGGCCAAGGAGTTCCAAGTTAAAAGGAACCTACTAGCTAGCAATGGCATCCAACCTAGGAGCGATGGCCTCCAACCTAATAGCGATGGCCTCCAACCTAATAGCGA